CGAGCTGCGCGCCCGCGAAGTGCCCGAAGGCCTCCGCGCCGGCCTGGTGCGCGGCGCCGGGCGTCGCGGACCCCGAGGGCTTCCTGAGCGGCGTCCTCGCCGTCGCGACGGCGGTCATAGGCGCGCTCTTCGCGCGGTGCCTCGAGCGGTGCCGCGCGCCGCGGCCGGGCCGCGACAGCGACGACCGCGGCGGCGGCTACGCGCGCCTCGTCGACGGCGACGGCGACCGCCGCGGCGCGCTCATGCTCCACTGGGCCCTCGCGTCGCTCGCGCTCGCCGCGGCCGCGCTCGTCGCCGTCGCCGCGGGGTCGCCCGTGAACAAGCAGCTCTGGACGCCGTCCTACTGCCTCGCCACGGCGGCGCTCTGCGGATTCGCGCTCACCGCGGCCGTCGCGCTCCTCGGCGACCTCGCCGACGGCGGCGACGACGCCAAGTTCCGCGCGGCGCGGGCCCTCGCGGAGCCGCTCCGCCGCGCGGGAAGAAACGCGCTCCTCCTCTTCGTCCTCGGCGCGTCGGGCGTCTTGGACACGTGCCTCGGCGCGGTCTACGTGACCTCGGGCGACGGGAGGCGGCGCAACGTCGTCGACGTCGCGCGGGACGACCTCTTCCGGGCCCACGTGTCCGGCGGCGGCACGCGGTCGAACCCCCACGCGCGCGCGGACCTGCTCTTCGCGGTCGCCGTCGCCGCCTTCTGGGCCGCGGTCGCCTGGGTCCTCGACGCGCGCAAGATCTACTGGACGGCCTAACTCCTAGGCGCTTATCACCGCCCGACCTTGCCGAGGGACGAGTTCGTGACGGGGTTCGCGACGTAGTTCTGCGCGCGGATGATGATGCCCGTGACGGCGTCCTGCACGTCCCGCAGGTCGTCGACGTAGAAGAGGCGCATGCGCTGCGCGACCTCGTCGACGGTGGAGTCGCCCGTCGCGAAGCCCAGGGGCACGGCCGCGGCCGACGGCGGCTCCCCGCCGTCGCGCGCGTCGTTCGCCGCCGCGACGCGCGCGGCGCACGCGAGCAGCGCCGCGTCGCCGTCGGCGCCGTCCGCGGCGACGCCGAGCGCGGCGGCGACGCGGGCGATGCCGTCGCCGCCGGCGCCCGCGCGCGCGCTCGGCGCCGCCGCGGCGTCTCGGTCGATCGCGTCGGCGTCGTCGTCGTACTCGCACTCCACGGCCTTCCAGAGCAGCCAGGAGACGCAGGCGTCGCGGTCGCGCGGCCAGGACCCGGGGCAGTCGAGCTCGGCGAGGTAGGCGGCAAAGGCGCCGTCCCAGCGCTCGCCGGCGACGCGCAGGGGCGCCCGGTCGTCGATCTCGAGCGCGCGGATCTTCCGGTCCTCGCACCAGGTCACGAGCGTCGCGAGGCTCGCGGCGTCGCCGTCGGACGCGTAGTCGAAGGGGTAGGACAGCGCCCGCAGGAGGCGCTGCTGGTGCGCCGCTGTGGCGGCGGATGCCATCGTGCGGTGCGGGAGGCGATGCGGGCGCCGGCCCAAAGCCTGCCCCGGCCATCATGAGTCCGCGACGTCCGGCGCAGCCGAGGGCTCGGGCTCGGCTGTGAAGCGGCCTCACGGCTTCCTCGACATGCTGCGGGACGTCTTTCGCCCTCGAAAGCGCTCTGCTACTGCGTCTGGGTCGGCGACGGCCCTGGCGTCCGCGCGCTCAGGCAGTGCCAGAGCGGCCGCTTGCAGGCCGGGCCCGGGCGCGCCCGGCCTCTTATCTAAAGCGCGCGCGCGCGCGATCGCCCGCGTACCCGGCGTTGCGGTCCCCGATGGCCTCGCTTTCCGCGAGGTCGTCGAGAACCGCACGCTGGAGGGCGGCGATGCGGCCGCCGCCGCCGGGTGCGACGGCGGCGCCCGGCGACTCGAGACGCCCG